AGAGACAGGCAAGTGAAAAATCTAATACCACTGGACCTTTTTTAGATGGAGTCAAATCCTCCTTTGTTTTACAGGGTATATAAAGAGGATATGCCATTGCATTTGCAGACCAAAGCCACTTGTGGTCATGCTCTGCTTTTTGTGCAAAAAACTGAAGGCAGATCTGGAACTTAACAAGTCTTAAATGCTACTATGATCAGACACAAAGTCTGGGCTTTTTTTTTTTTTTTGACTAGACAAAGGCCAAACCCCAGTTTTCCAATCTAGAGCTCCAGTTCTATCCTGTCCAAAAATCTGCATCTTGAAAGGCATCTACAAACTAATTTGAAGGAATTTATTTTAAACAAAGTGCTAGATAGGTAAGGAATAAGAAAGCAACACTACGGAATACCTCTTTTAATTTCTGATACTTAAAAATTAGCAGATGCTCTGAAGCTTAAGCTTTAATTGAATTTCAACCTTGTTGTGTGTTTGCTTGTTTTTTCTTTAAACAGAAATGATAAATATATGTTTCAATTAAATGTACACTTTACTACAGTGTTTCTGAACAAGCTCTTTTTCACTTTTTCAAAGACAGTTTTTATACTACAAAAAAAAAGGAAGCAGAAAAACCTGGTGTACCTTCTCTGTAATCATACTATCATCATCACTTTTATTTCATTTTCTAATTATGCAGTCAAGCAGCTACTGTACGGAGGGCCCCTATGGCACTTTTCCTAATGATATTAAACATTGTTTTGCCTTACTCTCCCCCTCATCCAAAATTCATGCAGAACTTCAAAGAACATTAACATTATCTCTAAGTGGGAGTGATAAAGTCGTGGCAGTGATTTCAACCTGAGGTCACATATTTTGCTTCATATCCCATTATCACAGCTCCAAGAATTGGAAAACCAGAAGGAAAGAAACTGGGAGTGTGCAACATTGGTATGACCATAAGTTACAAGCCTTTAAAACCCAAGAAAACTCAAACAATATCTTGTTTTACTCCAATCCCTACAGACACTTGGTCTGACTACTCTACTGGAGTAGTAAGGTCTCCACACCAAACTTAAACCAGCAGAAATCAACTGCCAGTTTTCCAGTGTTTTCCCACTTTAACTTCATCTTTGAATTTAATATATTAAGGACCCTCAAAGAGCAAAGTATTTAAGGTTGCATTTCAAAACAAAGTCCTATCATTGGCAAACAAATAAGACTTAAAATCCCTTTAATGGTATTTGATACAAAAGCCAATTTTTGGAAACTTACAGCAAAAAACTAAACAATTTTAAACCTCAACTGGTTCTAGGAAATTTGATTTTATAGGAAAAGCAGATGTTCTTCTACTTCACCAACTCCAGCCACTCCGAATTCATAGCTGACCTGCTTCCTAACCAGATGTCTGAATATCAAGAAAATGCATTATGTTATCTGAAAGGCTCAAAAATCCAGTAGGATTTGTGAAGAATGACCAATGAACAACAGCAGAAAAGACAAAACAGTCCAAAAGACAAGTTCAACCTGATAGTCCAATTCCATTAAGGAAAAAAACCCTCTTCTAAATAAAATGAAAAACCAAGGCAATTTGAGGCCTCTTACTTAGAGGCCTGCAAAGGCACTGAGAAGGTAGGACAGCATGTTTTTACCAGATGCTCCATCAGACAAGAATCCTGCTGACACAAGCCCAAGGACCAACCCCCTCCCATCTCCCTACTCCTTTGATCCCATGTCATCTTTATGACTGCCTGTGCTTGGGATCAGAAGACCCTCCTTTCATACTTAGTTCTTTCCTAGATATTAAAGTTTGTGAATTACCCTAACACAAAACTGTTTTAAAGTTGTATTTGTAGACTTGGAGGATGAAAGTCTGAGCCACAGGACTTCACTGACACTTAAATGGTGTAGCTGAAGACCTCTAACCCATTTCAAAGATGTTACACTTGAGTCTTGGAATGAAGTTCTTATCTTCAACTTGGAGCACTCAGGTTTGAGACCCAGCCTACCCTACAGCTATTCTGACAGAGGCTCTTTTTTGATGCATTATTTCTAAAAGCCTGGTCTAAGAAAGAATACATACTAATTACACTCCTTTATTTTTTGTTTAAAAGCATGAATGCTATACCAGAATGCTCCACACCAAGTCAGTCCACCTAAAATAATTTTTCCAACTGATTTTCCTTCCACTCACTCTTTTCTAGCCACAATAATGGAAAATTCCAAGGACTATTTAAAAAAGAGCTATATCCACACCTACTAGAGAAAATAAAGATGAATGCAAACCTTCCATCTGATGAGGAACATACAGAGACATAAAGGCTGTCTCCCTGAAAGCTGGGAATTCAGAAGCAATAAGGGCAAAAACTCTTCATACCTTCTGCTTCTGAATACTGGAACAGAGGAGTATGTTTGCACATACCATTGAATAGATTTGTTTTCCTCAATGGTTCTTACGATTGGTGAAAGTGGCAGAGAGAGACATTAATTCCTTCTTCATTTTCAATTAGCATTACCATTAGCATCACTGTAATAACCAAAAGCTTCAACAAGACAAAGATGAATTTATCCTGCTTCCGGAAGTATTAGTAGTCACAAATATTGAAAACCAAACACTTATATTAAAGCACAGATAAAAAAGGGTATGGTCATCCTCAGGGGAAAAATACAAACAGAAGTTTCAACCTATATTAAGCACAGAAAGGTAAACTTCTGAGTCATTCACATGCTATTTATTTAGGGTCACAGCACATATTTGTTGAGGATCTCCACACAGTAAATAAATGCAAGCTCAGTAATTTAACTCTGTCAAAGAGATTTTTTTTTTCTTGACTGGAGTGACTTAAGGAGGTCACAAGTAAGAAAGCAACAGGAATAGAATTTTGAATTTTCTTGGCTCAAATTATAAAAACATAAGCCACAATACAATGTGTACAACTTAGGTTTTCAAGGAAAACTCCTTCAAGCTCAACAGCAGCTAGCAGCTTGTCTCTATTTGCCGTCACTCTAGATCAGAAGAGCCCACATGCTTTTTTTTTCCTTTCCTGCCCCTTTCAGTTACACTTGAGCTCTTTGACTGAAAAGGTCTGGAACAGATTAAAAGTCCAACCACAAAATAAAGAGCCTTGGCATGTACTCAAGCCTGTCTGGGATACACATACACAGTGGGCCCAAAAAGGGAAGCTATGCAGCAAGAAACCCTTAATCAGTCTTTTGGACATTTCTAACTTCTTTCAGTTTAACTGCACAGCCTTAACATTTGATATAGTTTCAGTACGCACAAGACAAGCAGCTTTTGCCCTTACAGTTGGACTACTCTATTTACCGGAACACAAAATAGTTGTGAAAAGCAAGATTCATCTCACTCACAACCTCTGTCCATTAAGGCATTTTCCACACCCCTTTTTAATTCCAGTTAATCTTTAGAAATGACAAAGTAATGCATGTAAAGGAAAAAAAGATACCCTGCAAGATTACCTGAGTAAATGTAATTGCAAAAGGCAACACTGATTTTCAAAATGACTGCTTCCTTTTCAGCCTTACTCACATACTAAGTAATTGTGAAGTTGCAAATTACCCACACACTCCTCTTGCAACGTGCAAACAGGTCGGTAGCTCTGGCTGGTGTTAAAGCCAGCATGGACATTTGCCAAAGCTGACACCCCACCTTTGGGCTCAAGTTGCATAGTGGTTCAACCTGTCTACAAACTGGTGAGCAGTTTATAAACAAAGCATGACAATCTGGTGCTCTCCGTAAGTGTAAACGGATGTTGTAAGTAAGCACTCATGCCTACAAACCAAAATGCAGAATTTCTAGCAGACATTTCAGAAAACAAAACAGAACAGTGACTGTTGAGTTCTGTAGCTCTGTATTTATATGGCATTCATGGAGTTAATGCCTCTCCCAGAAGGGGCCCACAGTTGTTGTTAGGTCAACCCCTGTAAAGCTTCAAAGGTTTTGCATCCCCTCAGCCTGACCTACTCAGTGATCTGCACACTGTTTTCATTTAGCTGCACTGAGTCCAAAAGTAAAGCCTGAAAACCACAATGATCTCTTCTTTTTTTTTTTTTACTCCTACTGTTTTTCCATGGCTCTGGAAAAATAACTAAAATCCAAAGGAGTTGAAAATAGTAAGTTATTGGGAAAACAAATCAAGGGCAAGCTAATAAGGCTGACACCCACAGGTCATGGCTTTACAAAAAACCAGAAATTTTAACGCCATACTAAATACATCTTGGATAATCTATGAAAGTAGTTTAGAGTCTTCATATTATATGTGATTTCTATTCACAGTCATCAGTGCCAATACTTTACTGAAAAGCTTGCAGTTCTGCTCTTCATATAGATCAAAAATATAATTGAAAAAATTACATAAAAGTTCTGTTTTGTTTAATTTCTCCATCCAGACTTTGTGATCGTTAAGTTACTATTTCTATTTCCAATATTAAATAGTCTTTATCCCACAAATAGGTTATTTCCTTTTATAGTAGGAACAACAAAACTAATAATTCCTCATCATATTGTTTAATACAGAAAGTTTTGTCATGATAATCACTGTGACAAGCTGGAATTATAAGCTGGTATAAATTTCAAGTGTATTTAAACAGCATGAACTATTATTTGACAATGCCCTCTTAAGATAGCACAAAGGAAAGTAAATATTTGTTTAGGAATTAAAAGATTCTTCTGCAGTAAAGTTTTGCTAATTTAAAGGGATGAGTGAGCTTGACTGAAACCATCTCAATAAGTAATTTCTGAACGTCACCACTTTGGGGAACTGTATGGATCATGTGGCAAAATATCAACCCGTAGCATTAGAAACTTGGGTAACATACAGTCCTGGAGGATATAAGGATATAAGTATTTATCTTAGAAAAAAAAAGAAAAAACTTATTTAAATAAGGCCTCTACAACTCAAAATATATTTTAATCATACTATATAAAGTTTTCAAAATATGCCTGCAAAATTAAAGCTGAGTGAACTGAAGCAAATCAAGAATTCTGAATTGAGATGAACTTTTACCAAAGCGTGGGTCAAGCCTTGGGTCTAGCCAAGATGTGGTCTTGTTCTTATGGTTTATGTAGTAAATTTCTCCATCCTGGGTCATAGCTTGTTCCCATCCATCGGGGAGTGGGCCTGCAATATAGAAGGAAGGAGTTGATGGCGGGCTCTTGCTTGCTCCACCTGAAATTGATCTAAAAAATATTTTAACATTCTACATATATAACAATATATGAAACAGAAGAGTTTCAAGCTCAATTCTGGGATTAAGGGCAAAGAAGTGCTGGGTGGGAAACCAAGGAACAGGAAACACTTCTATCATTTTAATTTAGGATTTGGACTTTAATTTTCAAGCTTGTTTGCCTTTCATATGCTTTTGACATACCATTTTGCTATACCATTCTAGTATGAAACCAGCAATAAGTCAAGCCTGCCAGAATGAAACCAGCACGTGCACCAGGAAAAAGAAGCATAGAATAATTCTACCTCTCACAGAAAAGTTCATCTAGTGATTAAGACACAGAGTAGCAGCAACAAGCTAACGCTGAGGAGAGCCTGAAATGATCCTGTCTTTCACAAACAATTAAAAAAATAAGTGAACAAAACCAATTTCCTCTTTACTTCATACTCTAACTTTCGGTGAAAGCATTCAAAGCTTAAGCAGACAAAAATGCAAACCTGAAGAACAAGGCGGGCAAACAAGCAATGACACAGCAAAGGCAAGGAAACACCACGAGCAGTCACAAAGACACAGGGCTATGAACAGCAGTGCAATGTCTCCACAAGCAGAAAGGCACACACAGGAAAAGCTACTTCTAGAAAATGGTCAAAGGGAAGTACATAATGATGTTGTAGAGTCCATAGTTGATGTCTGAACACAGCCGGAGGAATGGTTCCCATATGCTCCCATCAGCAGCTTTCAAGAAACTACCTTTCATTCCTATATAGATCTTAAACCCCTCGTTCCCATCTCTATATGATCACATACATTCACCAATACTTTGCTCAGACTGAAAACTATTTAAAAAAATATATATTTATCTCATCTTATCTGGAAGGTGCTTCACAAATACATGGTTTTGAATTTTTACGCTCACATTGACATGAACCTTTAAAAATGTCTAAATTAGATAGAGGATGATCTTCCCTGTATTTTAGATTTAAGTACAATCCTCAAATTATACAACAAAAGATTCACTACACATGTTAAGAATGTAAAGAAGTTAAAACAAACCTGCTGTAGCAGCAAGCCATTGTATTTCAAGTTCTTCTACTCTTAGTCAGTGTAATACAATAGTAAAACAGCAGAAGCCATCTGGCTGTTAAACTTGGACTAACAGATTATTCCATATAATGTAAGATACACTAAGTATACACAAATATCATTATTTCACACATGAGATTCAGGTATACCAAAAAATATGTGCCCATCCTGTAAATGTCTACTACATCCATCTTCTAACTACATTAGCTCTTGACTGTAACTTTGTCCTGAAGTCATGCTCCTGCTGAAGAAGTCAGTCTAAAGCTGGGAGAAGAGGTAGGGAGGATAGATTAGTTTGCTTAATCTCAAAAGATGTTCTTGGAGAAATGTCAAAATGAGTAAAAAAATAATTTAATTGCATTCCAGCAATATCCCAAGGCATAATCAGGACAAGAATTTCTTACTGTGGTCTTTGAAGATCCCTTGCAAACTACATTTCTAATTTAAACTTTCATTTTGGCTCAGAAAACAAAGCCCTTCTCTAACAACTTCACTACTCCATCATTAGTGCTACAGATGAATTTCAAGTGAGGAAAAACAGTGAACACTAGGTATTTTCTTCCCACCTCTACTGCTCTAAATATTGCCTACAAGTAACGAATACCTCAGTTTTATCAGAAGCTAGTGAACAGAACAGGCAAGAAAGAGTGAAAATACTGCAAATGATGCTTAAAGCCCAAGATACTCACTGTAGAAAAGGACTTTGATGGAGAAATGAGAGCTCCAGTGCAAAGAATGCTGTATTTTGTTACCATACCCGAAGACCAGCCAGCTAACCAGTGAGGTGTTTTTTTACAAAGCTGGAGCACAGGAGCACAGCAACACGCCCCCCATCATCCAAATGCAGAAGTCAATGAAGAACCAAACCCACTCCTTTACTGCTGAGCCAGCATGCTAACCATGCAGGCAGACCTTCTCACTACCACTCTCCTCAGAGTCCTGCTAAGCCATACATGCCTTGGAGAAACCCAGCAAGAAATTCTTTGTGAACTGCAAAGCCAGAAAAACCCTCTTTGGCTTTAGGAAAAACAAAACCAGCCTTGGGGAGTCAGTCCTGCTGAGCACTGAAATCTCTACTGGTCCAGCATGTTCCTTTGTAGCAAGTATGAACAAAATGCCTTTGAAGAAGGCTGCCAGGAGCTGATCAGTCCATCCACCTGGTGGAATAATGCTACTTAAGAGATTCGGTGATCTGATGAGTACTAGATTACTACTAGAGACAAACCTGGACAAGGTTCTCTTTCTAAATAAAATGCACAGCTGTGGAACACGACAAAAAGGTCCATCCATCTGCTCACCTGGATATCACAGCAGCAAGCCTTCCTTGCTAAGTGCTATAAATGACTGTAGAAGCAGAGCTTTTATCTCTGGAAACTTTTGGCATTAATAATGTAGCTTGCTTCCTTTGCACAACAAACTGCTCTCATGTTTCTGCTGTCATCATTACATATTGAAAAGGCAGTTCAAAAATTGAAATTATTCTCTTCTGTAATTCCTGTTTGGTTTTGTGAGTAATTGTAGAACTAGAAGACATGTCTGATTTTCTAAAGGGTCACTTGACAAACTCTGTATTTGAGGCAACTACCAGAGGAAAGAACTAAACCCATGCTGAGGAATAGGAGACACATTCACCCAGAGCATCTAGGAAAAGTCCTTTGCAATTACATGCCCATTTGCCTCCAAAAGGCTGAAAAGGAACAGAATTTTTAGCGTTAGATAACCTAGGTCACAACAGCTGAGTGCTATAGATTGCTGCTATTCAGACCTTCTCAGTAAAATTTCCATAGTTACTGTAGCTCATGTTGTATAGAAACAGCAATACTGGGTCTAACCAAAAGTCCATTTAGTCCAGACATCTAGCCTGGGGTGATGGACAGATCTTGTTGGCTGCTGAAAGTAGCCCATTTAGGGACTGTCACACACTCTATAAACTTTTAAATAAAGCACCAAATACATAAAGAGACCTAAAAGGTATAGAGGATATGAAAAGTCACTTGGCCTCACAAGTATGTTGGGCACTGGAACAGGCTCCTCAGGGACATGGTCATAGCCTCAAACCTGACAGATCTCACAAAGCGTTTGGACAATGCTCTCAATGGCGTGACTCTTGGGGATGCCCTGCACAGGGCCAGGAGTTGGACTCGATGATCCTTGTAGGTCCCATCCAAATCAGGATATTCTGTGATTCTATCAGAAGTTATTCCTTGGGCCAGTTTCTGTCTGCTTACTAAGTGCCAAAATATCTCTCAAGTACTTCTCCAGTCTCCCCTCCGACTTTTGTAAATATTTACCCCAAACAATACCCCTGTGACATGGTCCCCCTACTAGTTCTGTTTGGTGCCTCCTATGACAGCTGAACCCTATCACAACTGTAAGTTTAGAATTCTGTGAAATAATTTGCACAGGGAGATACAACCCTTCTAGGCAGGGAACTCAGCCTGCACTGTGGTACTTTTTGAGGACAAAGATACAAAAAATTAAATTCTAATTTCCAAATGTAAGCCAGCTTTCCAAAACTACTGGTAAGCCATACCTCTGTAACTAAATATTTATATAATGGTGCAACTTCATATAAATAACATGCAATTTTAAAAGCCTGTGTGCATGTCTCTTTGGTGCACGTCTCCGCTTTTTGTGAATGGTTTTTGGGTTTTTTTAACTTTCTCATATGCCATGGAACCTGAAATGCAAAGTAGAGCTTGCTGCTGGCAGATAAAAAGCAACTGGAAGAGTAACAAAAGGAAAAATGTAGTAGAGATTCAACCTATGCTGGGATAAGAAGTGAATCTTGCAAGACTCTACTGTTCCTAAAATTTATTTTTAAAACAAATGTAAACAAAGCTGATTTTATCAACAGGTCAATGCATATAAGAGGGCATCTGTATCTATCTACCAACTGACTACGCATGGACAACCTAGGAACTAGAATACCTATGTTCAACCAGAGGATTCACCTTCACCTCATACAAACACTGATCTCCAAGATTTTTCCCAGTCTTTCTCCGTGAAAGCTGAACTTCTTCCCTTCAGTCATTGTGGTTCTTAAGCTTCCAAAAATTGTATCAAAGTCTACAACATTTACTTTAAGTACACCTTTATCCTGTCAAATTAGTATAAAAAGACACTATTTAAAAAGGGGTGGTTTTTGCAGATGAAGAAAGAAATTAACATTATTGTCATGCAGATTAAACTTAGAAACTCGAGTTTCAGAATAGATCATAGTGCTAACTGTACACAAAACAGAATTTTGTAGTATGACTGGCTACACAGACACAATCTGCAACTGAAGTGAGCAAGAACCTAAGAGAAGAGCTAGAACTTGTTTTAGTTATTGGTATATTCCTTCCTACCCACCTGTCCCCTGAGAGTTATGAATTCAAGTGTCCATTTCCTTACCAACATTTAACATGGCACTACAGCCTTACCTTAAGAGACAATGGAATTACACTAGGTCTACAAACTTTCACTGGGAAACTCAATTCAAAATTGCCACATAAGAATGAAGACAAAAGAGGACAAAGACACATAATCTGCTCCAAAGCTCATTATCGAAGGTCTATGTGCAAGCAGAAAAGGCTAAAGCGTGCAGTCCTGTCAAGCCTGATTCAAGCATGATTCAGAAAGTAAAAGTATCTGAAGAACAGAAATACACTAATACAATTATACCATCTCTGTTGTATCAACTGTAATTGTATATGAAACAGCCACTGTTTATTTTCAAATGTATAACTTTACCTCAGTAGGAAATGTATAGGAGATGCTCCTAAGAATAGCATACCATTATTACTATCTTTTTGTTTGTTTGTTTTAAATCAAGGCAGAAGAAACTATGTTTTTTTTTTCTGTTCTTTCTGTTTTCCTTTAGGGAAAAATGGTTAGAAACATAATGCAAAAAAATGAGAACAGTTACAATGACTTTTTATATACATGTGGCATATTTACAAATAAGAGGCTTATTTCCTTTCTACTACTGAAGATGCAATCCTATTTCACATATTAACCAACAGATGCCATCTAACAGAGCACTGTGCTCCTTCCCTGCATACATATGGCCCAAACTATTTTAGTTGATTACTTGTAGCAACTAAGAAAGACAGACATAAACCCCCTCACTTTTCACACACTGATGACTTCCTATAAAGGATATAGCTAACTAACCCTCAGAGAATAACTCATTCACAAAAGTCATGCCTGGAACAGATAAAACTGGTTCAGATGTCCATTAACTTCCTTGAAGAAATCTAATTTGCAGCAAGATACCCAAGTGCCTCAAGAGACAGAATTTCTTACGACAGATAACCTTAAGACTGCAATCTCATGCTAAACTACATCTTCCCCATTTTTATATTTTAACAATCTTTTGACTTGCCCTCATCACGTCTTTCCTGAGTTCTTCTTCCCCTATTTATCCAAAAAGACAACAGGTTTATCTCCAATATGTACACATCAGCTTTCACAGTTCTCTTCTCTCTGCATCTTCAGTTTGTTTTCCTGTTCATAATTCTTGCTAATGTCAAGAACTTTAATTCTACTAAATGGTTAAAGCTTCTAAAGGCTGTCACAACAGCTCCCAGAAATCTCTCCTATGTTTCAGCACAGTAACTTGACTTACAGGCTCCTGAGGCAGTACACTAGAACTTGGACAGTAACTTTAAGGGCTATAATTAATGAGCACCATACAAGGTCTATACAGAAAGGAAAATATTCTCCTTTGTGGCATTTCAGACACTTTTTTGCAAGTCAGTGATCTCCAGCTGTCACAATACTTACACTCGTTTTTTCCCAATATCTTTCATGAAAGGCTCTCATGCACTAGGGTATGTTTCGCTGCCAGCAATATTTCATAACAGGAAACTTCTGTCTTTAAGGCCTCAACTTGATTTCTCGAGGATGAATGCCCAAATTAGAACATTAAGTAGTCTTAAATCTGAGTGCCAACATCATGACTGTAAGTTCCACTGTGCTGAAGTGGTACATAGTTACTTGACTTTTCCATTTCTCTCAAAGATTATTTGAGAGGCTACCAAGGAAGCATAAGCTACCATGAACTCAGTAATAAAAAGTAACAAAGCTATGTATAAGAGACTTTAGTAAAAACAAATAAACAGTCATAATTTAAAGTTTGTACATAAACATTTGCCAGATCAAGTATCAGAATCACATCCAATAAATGCAGATTTGGTATTATTTAATTCAAAGGAGACTTTTGTTAATAGCAAATAAGGGTAATAAGCAAGTGCATCCAAAGAGCCAGTTCCAAGTCATACTACCTCAACTGACTTAAGCTTAAAAAAACCTAACTCCACATAACATATGATGTAATCCAGTATACACAGGAGTTCTGAGTCCTTCATGCACTATTATCTGACTCAGAGCACTTGGGGAAAAAAAGCTTCACAGGATTTTCAGTTGATATTCAACACAGTATCATCTGTGAAATTAAATATAAATGTTCAATGAACTTGTATCCAAGTAAGTACTTTCTCAAATCACAAGACAACCCACTTGCCCTTTTCAACTGTTCTTTACTGCATGAACAACAATATCTATGCAACCTCACTCTCTCACACAATAACATCAAGCAAATACATGTAAATGTTCTTTAAAAATAATCCTTGTGTCCAGATTGCTAGCTTCTTTTCTAGTTTGTTACCACCCTGTTACAATTTAACAGTATTTTTTTTTGCTAAGAACCCTTCATTTCTAAGTACATAAAGTGATTCCTATTTTACTATCAATATTTTTTCCTGTGAATTCTTGGTACAGCGGAAGGTTTGAGGAGTTATCTTAAAATATGTCAATATTGAAACAGCAAGCATCTAGTTTTAGCACAAATAAGCAAAAAGGCAGGACAGACCAAGGGAATTGTTTCCCTTCTCCTATTCTCCCTCCTTTAGAAGTGTCCCTACAAAAACATGCCACCTCTATTGCTGCAGGTTTCCTGGGATAAATTTACACAGAAAATAATCACACTGTTTTATTTTCACATCAGAGCCTGAGACCTTAATTGCTGTGAATCACGACTTCCTGAACTTGAACAGGACTCATTTGTTTCAGGATAATCCAGCCTCCTGGCCTAGCCAGCAAAAAGTTTGATTAACTTCCCCTCTAATACTCAGTCATGAACAGCACAGTTTGGTCACGCCTGTTAATCTTTTGGTATTGTCTGCAGCACATGAATTGCAGCATGAAACAAAGCTGTCTAAACAGACCACAAAAAGCAGCACCAGAGAATAACCCTTGGGAAGTACAGGAACAGCAGACACACACAAAATACAGTCAGACTGTGAGAAAATAAATATAACATGAACCTCAGTGACAGACAGGAGGTGACAAAGCCAGGGCAAGACCAAGCACTCAAACAAGCATGGTACCAAATTTATCTGCTTGCTCTCTGCATAATCAGATGAGAGAGGTCTGAAAACACACAGTAGATTCTATAGCAAGAACAAGAACATTTTACTGCTGTCTAGTGAGAGCCCCCCCGCACCCCTGCCCCCAGCCAGCTGAAAAACAATTCTATATTCCGGGAAAAGACAACAGACTTCCTCCAGTTAGAGCAATAATGACCATGATACTGGATTTTGGAAGTAAGAGAAACACGAGAGGAAAACAAAAACATTTCTGCTTCTAAACAAGACTTTCAAGGTATTTGCTTGATCCATTTAGGGAGGACAGGAAAAAATTTTATGTTCATATTAAATGTAGGAAATGTAAATAAATGGTGGTATAACATGTCTAGTCAGTGAGCAAATGGAAGCAGAAGAACGCTGTGGAGCACAAAAGCTTTAATGTAAGTTGATATTAATTGAATGGAAATTCTGGTCTTCATCAATTTAAAAGCATTTTGTGGTCAGAAGAAAATAGAGAAAAATTCTGCTTCCTTACAACTTTGAACCATTCATTTGAAAAAATAAAAACATAAATCAAAGAACAGTGTTCTTTTTATTGACAACATAAATTACAAATTCTCTTATTTCAACTATCAGCCTCTTGCTCGATGAATCAGGCATCAACAAATTTAAAGTTTCAAACCAGGATAAGTAGAAGAACATTTATTAAATCTAGACTCCCTCTTCCCTGATTAGAATAGCTTGTGGTTTACTTGTAGGATCTTTTCCATAAATGCAAATTTTGCTTACCTGATGCCGAGTTCATGATGTTCTGCTGCACAGAAGGACTGGTGGGAGCTGTAACATTCATCTGGGAAAGCATAGCCTTCCTAGGATCTTGCCATGTTGTTGTTTGATCAATGTGACTAGGACAAAACAAAGCAAGAGTTAGGACAGTCATGCATTCACAACAATGACCTGCTAGCACAGAAAGTTTAACAACAAAAGGTTAAGTTTGCCAACAACAGCTACATTCAAAACCAAACAAGAACTTTTTGGATTCTCTCCAAGCATCATCACTGTATGTCAGATTCTAAAACCCTTGCCCTGGCCACCACCAGTTTCCCAACCAACATTTGCTTCCTTCTCTCTTTGATCACTTATTTGCCATTTTTAAATGTGACTTCACAGATTTTCAAACCAGGCCAGTTATGTCTGGAATCTCAAGGACAGTCCAGTACCTCGGCATGATGAGTTCATATCCAGGGCCTAGGGAGTAGTAAGGAACTGGCTAGTATGCAATCATTAGTGTTCCCAAACTTTCTGTGCATAGACCACATCCTCAGTTTATCAGGCAGACTACTCTCCTCCCCACTGACACCTGAACAATCCCTCTGTGGAAGCTGAAGTAACCAGTCACAGTAAAGCAGTAATATGAAAGGAATGTGCAGCTGCCTTTCAACTTCAAGCGAAAAGATGAGGACAGTAGGACTGTCAAGTAACTCACCCAGTCCTCTGCAAAACTTTGGAAGCTTAGATTTCTCTGTTTTGAAAAAATGGCAAGTACATTCACGACTGTCATTCATGGAAGTATTCAATTCAACAGAAATACAAAAGTGTAATGAATCATTATTTTTCTTTTAGAGTATATGATTAGCATGCTATGCTAATGAGCAACAGATGCAGTCTATTCATAACAAGCATCAATATTATCTTGATGCCATTAAGCAACACTGCTCTGAGACGTACATGGAGACAAAGATACAACTCCAAATGCACATGAACACTGACAACAAAATTTGTTATCTGATCATTTAGAACCGGTACAAATTAAAAATCATATTCAGATAGTATTGTTATAAATTAGAATCCAATGCATTATTAACTTGGTACCATTCATACTTTAAATAAATTATCCTTAAAATTATGCTCTTCTGCATTACATGGAATGCCCATTTTCATATTCTTCAGCAAAACCACAAGAAGTACCAAATTCAGAAGAACATAAAATGAAGCAGTAGTCACCAAAATAATTACTTATGTCAAACTACTCACATTCTCATCTTCTTTTACAAGGTAGACATACCACAAACTAGCCTTTAAAGAAGTTTTAAGATATGTACATTAACACTCTCTAACCATGCACATAAGCTATTTCTGACCAAAGAGTTACAGACACACCGCAGTAGCTCATTTAATACAGTATGTGCTGGTTTTGTCTGGGGTAGAGGTTATTTTCTTCACCATGGCTAGTACTGGGCTATGTTTTGGATGAATCTGGCCTCCCTCTGATCATCACACCAATAAATTATGTTTGATGGCTGGGGTTAAACCTTAACAAGATACTATTAAGCACACTGCATCTTTGGTAGCACAGGTTTTCAAATATTCAGCTTCACTGAGAAACATGCTACATACAGCAAGACTTCTTTATTTCTTTTTAAAGCCTATTTATTTATAAAACTTAGTGCAACATAGTAAAGACTGCCCTATATATACTGGACTATATATAAACCTTCATACTGGGGAACAATTTTTCACTTTTCTGCTGGTCAGTTTTGCAAAGCAATGAAAACAGGTAAAGATAATACAGATGTAAAAACACTGCACTGTAATGCTTCACAGACCATGTGTTTAAATTACTGTACCAGCATGTGCTACTCCTCCCTTACATTTCTGATTTGTTATATTTGCTCAACTCAGTTCTGGCAATAGTGGAAACTGGGAAAACATGACTGTACCCATAATAACACATTCATCTATTTCCATTTAACTCTTATAAAAATCCATGTAACGCTACGAACTAATAAAATGCAAGGTACATAATTTATAGCCTTTGTTTTTATATGCTATTTGAGTGCAGTGTAAGAAATAGAAGGAAAAATGTTTTCTCCCTGCATTACAGAACCATTTCTACAGTTAACTGTAGTAACGCACTGAAACAACATTCATCAATTTTTCAAAACACATCAGAACATGGGACAGATGAATGGACTATGGAAGAAGCAATTTTGAGCACAAGGACAGCCTTATTGATTCCTCAAGACAGCTTAAGCATACCACACAACATACAGTTAATGTTCATATGGAGTTGTTAACAAGGGTAGCTATTTTAGGCAGTAGCAGCTTCCAGCTTTTCCCTAGCTCAGTATCACTTGAGAAAAGTCAGCATGCTCCTTACGTGACCAGCTGAACTACAATCAGCAGTCTTAGAGCCAAGAGCCATGGAGGAAAATCTTCAAAGTAAGCAAGCTGATTATATTAATATCATACTGACTGTATGACTGGTTCAATAAGGCAAACTTTTTTTCCCTCCCACTCAGCTCAGTGCTTCATGACCTACATATCCATTTCCTCCATACCTTCCCTCAAAACTTTTCTCCTCAAACTCCATAAAATCACAGTCCTCATACCTTACCTGGTCCATATGCTCAGTGTTTGAATGCTATATACTAAGAAAGCACCCAAAACACTTCACAACAGATCAGTTCTTTTGTATAAATTCCAAATAATGCTCAGCTGATGGAATACAAAGTAGGCAAGTCCCCACTTATATGGACGAAATGTTTAAATAAATCCTAGTACTACATGGAGGAATATAGGAATTTATTTTGTTCCTATTCACAGCACGTGGACCAGGGTAACTTACTATAAACACCATGTATTTTTAATTATCAAATTAAGTATTGAAACAGGACATTCTACACAAGTAAAGATCTTTCCCTCTGTTTTGAACAGCAGCACAGAAAAGGTCTCAATGGACATAACAAGAACTGACATCAACACTGCATTATCTTTCCCTGCATTAAGTAGATTTTTTTCTCATAGTAGCTGAATTACATGAAAACTGCCCCAATCCTTACATTAAAGATCTCCAATTTTACATGAAGTTTACCATATCTCAATAAGCAACTAGTGTCAACACAAATAAAAGATTAAAAAATATCAGCAAATGATATGAAATCAATGTAACCTATAAATCAGCCAGTATATGTAGCATGTATTATCAAATTATAACTTAAAATTCTACCTACTCAGGAATGAGAAACATAGCTCTGTACTGTGTGAACACAACAAAGTGAGTAAATATTCCTGGAATTAAGTCAACATCTCTAGGATAATCAAGCAATGTAAGACATGTTATTTCACATAATGAATTCTCAAATATAACATCTATCTATCTGGCACTATTTATTATTGTTCATTTATGACATGGAGAAGCAAAACTTTAGTAAACTGGACAATCAGAGTATAAACAAAGGAAATCAGACTGTACCATAAATGTAGGTCTGTGGTAACAGGCCTTAGAAAAACAGAACTAAAACACCCACCACATGCTAAGCATTTGTTAGCAAACTTATGTGAATTCTAGTATCAAGAAGAGTGACTGTTCCAAGACACACCACCCACCATCCTCCACCAAAAAAGACCTTCAAAGTGCTCTGCATTATGAAGAGCACAAACTGCATCTCCTCACTCATCTTCAACTTCTACAGCCAAATACAAATTATTTGCATTTTAACAAGAACAACTTCAAAGAAAAGAAAAATGTTCTAATTTTATGGACACTAAGAGAATTTCTGCAGTTACTAAGAATCAGAATTTAATTGAAAGAAATCTTTACTGGCATTAAACACTATCACATGCCTAAAGATTTATCAGATTCAAATTCTAACCTAATTTTAGAGTTTAAGGTCTGGGTTTGTTGTAGTGGTGGTTTGCTTCTTGTTTGTTTTTTTTTTTTTGAGGGAGAAGGGTGTTGAAGATTTTGGTTTGAATTTTTGTTTGTGTTTTTTTATTTTAAAGTACATTGGAAAAGAAGTAGGATATCTAGAGATCTAAAAAAGAAAAGGAAATTTACTTTTTATTTTAAGAACCCTTTGGATCCCAGTAGACTAATAAAATAACACCATTCTAAAAACAAAGTCCTTGTACAAAGTGTAATATACCTTCCCATTCATTGTCCAGTTGCTGCACTAAAAAGACAAGTACTGTTTTGTTAAAAGCCATACCAGAAACAAACTAACACAAAAAAGACACTCAAAGAATTACTTAAATTCTTCAAGAAAGGCTTTTCTAAGATGCCTTCAGTTTTGACATTCTGTAGTATGTACTGCAACTACAGTGTCCCCATTGGCAGGTGCACTTTCCAGGGTATGCTGAGAACTTCATTTGTGTAACAGAATTTCCAGTCATTACAAAATTATGTCTTTCTCACCCTTTCTGCCTTTATTAGCATATAGTCACCCTATATATGCCACATCATTTATAATTAGAACTTCCCTTTCACAAAAACAGATCTTAGGATAGACATTATTAACATAAGCAGGTCAGAACTGCAAGACTATTTTACCGGCGTGTGCAATAGAAATGTAATGTTAGTAAGAAAAGCAAAAGAGAATGAACAGACATGAACAGACATTCTAATCCTCAGTACAGATGACCATACAGCATGACATTTCAGCAACAACAACAACAAAAAAATAAGAGGTCTGATTGACACATAAAAAAATAGTTAAGAATAAATAAACCATGGCTTCTCAGTACATTTGGACATGGCTCTTCCTGAAAGGACATTTCAAAAATTTAGTCTCAAACACACAGAAGGACAAGTTTTTCCTAAGTATAAAAGCATCACTGTAAAAAACTATGCAAACATCTCTCCATAATGTAGTGCTTGTGTTTCAACAATCTAGACAAGACTTATATTTTATGTCTGTGAGAAAGTTATTTTCAGTCTCTAGTGAACTTGAGATAACTAACCCTGGATTTTAGTTTTCAGATTTTTGGGACTGTTAAGAATTCACTGGAAATCACATTTTATGAAAAGCAAAACAGGAACACATACCACTGACCACATCATGACAGATCTCCCAAGGGTGTTGACATGGCATTGAGTACTTTTTGTTCTGGGGATAGCTAGGAA